GGTGGAAGCTTCCCAGGCGTGACTTTCAAATAGGTCTCGATGACACTTTAAAAAGCTGAGCCCCCGCATCCTGCGGACAGACCACCACTGCGGGATTTGGGGAGGGGGTGGGTCAGTCCTCGAAAGCCTCGGTCAAGATCTTGAGGATCCCACACCTTCTCTAAGCCAACCCCAAGGCCAGCCGCAAAGCGAAACTCACCAGAAGCCACAGAAGCTGTCACTGCTGGGAAATCCTGGCCCGGTCCAAAGACCAACTTCTAAAAAACCCCCTTTCCGGGGTTGTAATCCACTAGCTCCTTCCTAGTGACAACCGAACTCAGGAGTGCTGAGACCCTTGAGGAGCAGCCGTCTCCTCCAATCGTCAGCAAGAAGATGCCCTGTGGGCGGTGTCTTGTGGGCTCGAGGGCCAGACGAGGAGGCGGAAATCTCCGCCTTCCTCAAGATTGGTTGAGAAGTCCCTCTGCAGTTGCAAATGTACGGCTGTTTGAAAGCGGGCGCCAGAGGTGGCGGGAAACTCCTCTGTACGCTCATTGGTGCATTCGTGAGCCAATTACGAAAGGGTTGCCTCCCTTGTGGGCGGGTTTGTAGGTTGCCTAGAGTCCCCAGAAAACCTCGCTTACTATTTTGGCGCAGGTAACCCTCGTCCTTAGCCTGCGTACTACCTGGTGCGGAACGAAAATGAAGCAATGACTCTTACTCCGTGCTTTCCACTCCTAAACCCCACTTCTCGGGAGCAGTTCACAGAACCCCTCAGTTTCTTCACTAAGATTTTGCATTGGAAGTTTTTGCATTCACCCTTCTTTTTCTTTAAAGGGTCTGCCTCCACCTAAACAGCCTCAGATCGTGTTTTGCTTTGTCTTTTTGCTTATTAAATCTTGCCTTGTTTTCATTTGCTTTTCTTTAATTCCTGATGAGCTAGTACTAGAATTTTCTCGAGTGTGAATGATCTTTTCACTGTATAATGTTACCCTGCCCTTCAAAACAGCAACACCCATTACTGTATCTATATGCTATGGTTAAAAGGTTTGGTGAGCAGT